TTAATATAATTATATATACATTAATCTAGTAAATATAATTATTCATAAATTAATTTAAATTTAATATATTACTTGAGTTATTCCGAGGCCTAAATTAAGAGTTCACCTAATTTAAATTTATTCTCCAATAAATATTTTTTAATTAATAAAATTTTCTATATATTAATCTAAGAAATATAATTATTCATAAATTTATTTACATTTTATATATTACTTAAGTTATTTCCGCCCAAAATTAACTTTTAGCTTAATTTAAAATAATTATTTATAATGTTGTTTCAGATTAATTTAATTAATTATGAATTATTCTATCAAATATAATTATTTAAAAAAAATTTAAAATTAATATATTACTTAATTTATTACTAAACCAAAATTATCGGACTTACTATCGGCACATTTCCCAACTCGCTAAATGCGCTGAATTGGTTTCGTTTGGCACGTTTATAACATTCGGTGACTCTACTCTTTTACCCCACCAGGCGTAGGTGGGTTGGTGGGCGAGCTTGATTGGGAACCCCCCATATCAAGTCGAATTCGAATTCCCTCTCATACGATACGACTCCTTAAGCGGGGAGAAAATAATTGTGGGTCATGCAACTGTGGGGCTGATTGTTGGTAGACTCGTCCTGAGATTAATTACACCACCAAGTGCCTCTTTTGAGAGATAACAGCGGGTAAGTATCACCTTTAAAAAAAAAAAAAAACTCTTTTTTAAATCTAATCATGTCAACTCTCCTGCTAATCTAAGATTTCAACACTCTCCATAAAATTTCACCTACATTCTTCCGATAGCTTTAGGGCTGTCAAGGGTTTACTTTTTCTCTGTTCGATTTCGCAGAGTTTTGAGCGAATCGCGGCGAAGGTAACCGTCTTACTCCGTTTTCGCACGCTTCTTTGGCTAAATCCCGTAAATCCGAAGGCAAAAATGTTGGATTTAATTTTCTGTGAGATTTAAGATATCCATTTTTTGCCTAAAACCTGCTCAAATTAAATCTTTCTACCGAACAGCCCCTAATTGTCTTCTTCACCGAAGAATGTCATACTTGCTGCCACATCTGCACTCAGGATGGGCAGTGGACCAGGCAATCCTGGCTGAGGAGGAACGCCTCGTCATCATTCGATTTGGCCATGATTGGGATGAAACCTGCATGCAGGTTCTTTATCTTTCCTTTCAAATTTTCTTCTTTCTTTGATTTAAGTTGGATCTACTTAAATTTTATCTTGTGTACAATGCTTTTCTTGGAGATTCGTTCTTCAACTCGTTCCTTCTGATTTATCTTATTCGTTGACATCCGATTAGGATTTCGGTGATAGTTAGGTTTATTATATGGTTTTCTTTCTGATTGCTCCATCTCCATCATCAGCTAGACGAGTGAAGGTTGTCCGCTCAATGAATTTTGTTAGAAACCTGCTCCTTGAGGCGTTTTAATTGTTATAATTTTGTTTGAATGTTAATATTAAAAACTAAGTAAACTATCGTGTATGCTGTCAGTCATACTGGACTGTGATAATAATATGATTTTAAGGCCTTCCTATTTTCAGACAATTCGCATCAGCCATTATCGTTTTAGTCATTTCTAATCCTAGGCCATGTCAAGTGAAAATTATTAGGTGCGGAGACTGGATGTAGAGATACATCCGGACATCCACTTAAAATTTGACACGTGGAGTGCACTTTGGTTGTGCTTTTTCGTGCGCTTTAGTTGCACTTTAGTTCCGCATTGACTGTTCTTTTGTTGTGTTTTTTTACTGCGTTTTACCTACACTTTACCTGCGCTTTTGGTGCACTTGGCTAAAAGTTTCGCGGACATATTAAATGTATAAAGTAATAAATAAATCCAATTAGATATTCACATGTCCACTCAACATGTCAACATTTTATTGGATTCCAGACGTATCTCTAGGTTTGGTCTCCACACCTAATAATTTTCCCATGTCAAGGTCCTTCTAAGTATTTATGTTTTTTACTTTTGGTAGGAAATTTTTTCTAAGTATTCAATGATGCAGTCCTCCGCATTTTATTCACGAAAACCCTTTATATATTGCATTATGCAGTCAAATACGTAAACATAAATTTCAGTTATTAATTATGTATATGTAGAACTAGTGAATGACGCATTTTCCTTATTCTTATTTACTTAGGATAAAGATATTCATTACATCAAACTTAGTTTATTGAGTGTGATATGTTGTCAAGTAAATAATGGTTATTGAAGATTATCTTTGTTCTACATAAATCATGTGGTATTTGACAATTCATGTGAATAACTTTCATGTTTCTGAAAGTTTTATTTAGGATAAACATCCACAATATAGTTAGGATTGTACATGAATTTAAGCTAGAATCTGTAGGGAATTAGGTACATTGTGTAAGCTTGAAAATGATTCAACAGTGTTCCACCCGCATCCTAATAATTGGTGCTTAGTCCCCATTCTAGAGGTGCTTTGTGCTCAATATTTTTTTTAACCTGTAATAGAGATCTATTAATTTATACAAAAGACTAACCCCTAGAAATAGGTCTTATTCAAATGACAATATTTTTGTATCCATGTTCATAAAAGAAGGAAAATAACATGATATGCATGGGAGTAAAAATCAACAATCCCAATGACTATAGTATTGACAAAAAATAACCCTCTCATAATGAATTGTTTGAAGTACACTTTAGCAAAATTGGGAGGCTAAGGATAAACATGTGGGAAAATAGGATAACACAGAGAGATATCACATTAGGAACACACTAGGTACCTCCACATCAATTTTCCTAGCTTAGAAAAAATTGCCTGCAATGAATTGATCATTTGATAGTTGTAAAGAAAATTTGGAACATAATTATTACTCTTCCTATTACGTAACTATGATTCATCGTACATAGGTCCATTTCACTAACACTCAAGATACTTATGGAATGTATCGTTAGAAGCGTAAAAAGTTTCTTCACCTTGTAAAGGTTTGCAAACAAATTGTATAGATGCATTTGGCTGCATGTTGAATGTGAATTTCAAGGAGATGGAATGATTGAAGAATCCTAAGAATTGGCAGCATACTCATGAAATAAGATTAATTCAAACATATCGAAGACTTGATTATTTAAAAAAAAATTAAGTTAAGACTTTATTTCTATTATTATGTAGAATTTCAAAATCTATTGCCTTTCCCGCATTTAATTTCTTAAAGGTTTTTGAAGGTAGCCTTCATGAATCAAACACATTATTATTGTATTGACTTTTTTTAAGCTCCACATATGTCTTTTTCACATTTACAGAAGTGTTTACAATTTCCTTAAGTCATAGCTAGGGTCTTGTTTTTTATTCATGCACGTTAGATAAATCATGAAAATGACTAATATGATATGAAACAAGTAATGAAAAATGCCAAAATGCTAATAATATAAATCTGGATGAAATAATAATAAAGATCCATATTTAATTCCCTAATGAAGATATGATAACGAACCTAAAGGAAAACAATCCATGCATATATGATATGTTTAATGGACGAGCAATCTATTTAAACAAAAAATAATCCAATCAGTTTAAATATGAAATTTGATGAATTATACACCTTTAAAGTTAATCATTTGGATAAAATTTTAAAATCTAAGTTTCTTTCAGAGCCTATGATGCACAGACATGGACACGGCGACATGAATACGACATGACACGGACATGTTAGTTATTGAAAATATAGGACACGGGTTGGACAAGGTATTATAGTTTTTATATTTAAAAAATAGTGTATAAAAATTAAATAAGTATAATTTTAAAAATAATTTGAAAATAATATGTCATTTAATTAGAATTTGTGCTTAAAATGATTAGTATTAGGATGTCGAGGTCAGGCTTCGATGTCATTTATCAGTCACCTAGAGAGGAGATGAAAATAATAAGTCATATAACTAGAATTTGTGCTTAAAAAGAAATGAAAATGAGAATATTCGATGATTGGATATTAAGTGCGGACGTTGATTTGGTGTTGTGGATAGGAAATAAAAAATTTAGTTTAAATCCCGCCAAATATAAGAAATTATATTTAAAAAAATTCATAAAATATTTAAGGTACGCGTGTCGGACACATGTGTCCAATTTGTTTTTAATATTTTTTAATCGGACACGTTTTCGGCGTGTCCGACACGTGTTGGAGGAGTGTCGGGCGAGTGTCGTGTCGGATACGGTATCAGACACTGCACGCCTCTTTGAGGAGAAATGTCGGTTCATCATAGTTCAGAGCATTCTTCTTCAACAAATTGCTAGAAATATTGGTGTAATTCATTATTATGCATAACTTTTTACTAAGAATCGGTATATCCTTCATAAATCTTTACTAAGAATTGGTATACTCTGAAACTAAGGACCAAAAACAAAGTCAGCATTAGTTAATAATTTATTCAGTAATAGTATCTTTGGATAATTCATCAAGAATTATATTTTCATAATACTCATTTGATTCATCAACTGAAATAGACAATTTAATTTAATTTCACTTGCAAATATGTGTTTAATTTCCCTTAGAAGTGTATAATCTCATGCCCAACTTTTTTTAAATAAATTATAGTTCTGATTATTTTTCAAATTTGAATTTAGGTTCATTAATAGGTTGTACAGTAGGTGTAGCCTTAACAACATCATATGCATTCTATATTTCAAAAAAATATTCATGAATTATAATTTCTTCAATTTAATTCATATTAGTCATACATGATTCTTTTGTTGATGTGTTTTCAACTAGCTTCAGATGAGATATTATTGATTTTTTTTATCAGGAGTAAGCATGTGTGCAAGAGTATGTGTAATTTTCCTCAATTTCTCAAATTATGTACAAGGCCTCAGATAAAGGTTTTGGTTATTTGTAGCTTAGTTCATCCATGATTTGTCCCTTTAGTGAAACAGTAATATTTATAATTGTTGATAAAATTATAACAAAAGCTGCAAATGTGGAACTTGAGATGTTTTTCATGCATATCTGAAAATGTAAAGTTTTGTAGTATCTTAAAGCTTTTGCATGAAGGGCATCGATGTTTTTGTTTCTTGACCTTTTATTACAATCTATTGTAGCATGTATTTTGATGAGGTTAGCTGTGATAACCTAATGAATTCTAGTTGTGTCATCATAAGCCTTATCTCACCTGTTTTTGGCTAGCTTAATGTTAGGCCGGCCCAACGGGGGCTGATTGAACTGGCTATGGACCGGTTTTTGTCTATAGGCGGCAGGCCCAAAGAAGGTGGGGGGATCATGGAGAGCGGGGTGGCTAAGTAGTGGGGCCGACAACTCAATTAAATATTGCTTTGGGAGGGAAAATTTTAATTAGGGGCTATTTAGGGATTTTGTATTTGTCCTCTTTGCTTTAATTAGTTTCTCTTGTGAGGGTTAGGGTTTCATCTTAAATTGGAATCTGAAATTTGGGATCCTTGTGTTGATTTTGGGCGCTAGTCTTTGGCTAGAGATTGAGAGAGTTGAATCTTCCTCTCGAATTGAAGATTCTTATATCTTGTGCTATTTTTCTTCTTTATTAGTGAATTTCAAGTATTTTTCTCTTAGATTTCCTATAATTTAAAAAAAAATCTTCTATATTTTTGGCTAAATTTCTCTTGAAATTCAGCAAATTTCTGCACTATTGGTGGCTACTTCCTATCACTTAACCTAAGAAACAGTGAAAACAGAAGGAATTTAGGACATTCTGAATTTAGACAGCTGTTAGAAAACTGGGATGGGTATAAATCTTGTTGGACCATGATGTGTTATGCCACCAGAAGTCAGTTGGAGTTTTATAGTCTGTCATGATAAATTTTTGTGAATGTACCATAGTGATTCTATCAAGGTAGAAAATATACCCTTTGTCTATTCATATTACCTTTTACACTCCTCACTCGTGACAGAAAAGCTTGAATACATTTTTTAGGTGTAAGAATGACCTATATCAATCAAGAGAGGCCAGAGCTAAACAATGGTAATCAATTCATTTACTGATTTATAGCGTTAAGGATGTGCATAAATTATGGATAATAAATCCTTTTATGTATATTTTACTAGTATTTTGATAAATACTAGTGAATTGGCAGTATAGGTTTTTTGGGACTCTTTAGGTGAGGTATTTTTTAGAAAATGATTTGTTGCCTCATATAGCCCAAAAAAGTCTCCAAGTCATTATTGGATGTATGCCATCTGACATGCATATATAATGTTTCATCTATTCAATAGCATTGGAGACACTTCTTTTTGGTAACGGGGCATTAGTTTCTTCTTTTCTCCGAGCCGCAGTATGTTTGGTTGTTCTGGCTTCATTGCTGGCATATTTGTGTTCGACAAATTGAAGGTAAATGTTATATAATTTCTTATAGATCTGCAGTTTTGAGATTTCTCTCAAGCTTTTTTTATACTTTGAGAGTTTGTGGCGAGTATACATTGTAAGTAAGTTAAAATCGTCTTCATGGTTTAAACTTTTTAGTATGTTATAGTTTTAAGAAAATTTGAACACACTTTTAATTTTTTTTCTTTCTTACCTTAAGACTTGAATTTTGTGATGGCTCAGATGGACGAGGTTTTAGCCTCAGTTGCTGAAACTATAAAAAACTTTGCAGTGATATACCTAGTAGATATCACAGAGGTGCCTGATTTCAATACAATGTATGAATTGTATGATCCGTCCACAATTATGTTTTTCTTCCGTAACAAGCATATTATGATTGATCTTGGCACTGGTAATAACAACAAGATCAACTGGGCGATGAAGGACAAACAGGAGTTTATAGACATTGTTGAAACCATCTTTAGAGGTGCCAGAAAAGGTCGTGGACTGGTCATTGCTCCTAAAGATTACTCCACAAAGTATCGCTATTAAGTTCACTAGTTCAACTATCATGTCACTGGTGTATGAGTACACACCTATTAAGCTATCTTCACATGTTGATGTCGTAATAACTTTCTTTGTTCTGTATTGTTTAAATTTCTTTGTTGATGCTACCTTAAAATGAGCATGCCTAACCTCTTTGTTGTTATTTATGACAGTGTTGCAGTTTTAGCAGTACTATTATTTCAGCCCCCCATATTTGATAATGAAGAAATGAAGTATTTTTCTGATCTGGAGTCCATATAGAAAATAAGACTTTCTTACTTTGAATCACTTCATGTTTTTGGAAGTTGTGTACCTGTAGTGTGAGATTTTGATCCACAGTACCTTGGTTCATAGATCAGAGTGGGTGGCTTGGATAGCGATCAATCTATCACTTAGTGTTGATATATCTAGGATCAATAACATAGAAAAAATTAGACTATATATGAGGTAATAATTTTTTAGAATGAAAATTGGATCATCATACAAGAAAGAGTTTCTCAAAAATATTATTTGATGTGACAACATTCTGTCATAGTGACCTAAAGGTAAATTCTATGATACTGCAATTAGTATGGTCCTATTAGATTATGAGATTAAGTGATTTGATGATGTGGGGACTAGCTATAGTGATGTTGTTTCAGAGGATCTGATCTCGACGAGTTAAAAAAATCATTTTGGCCTTTGTATGGATTAGTTATAATTTTGATTTGATCGTTATATTTGATTTTTACTTGATTTTTTTTTTAACTTTTAAACTAACCTTTTTTGGTCTTAAATGGTTGATCATTTTTCTATTTATTATTTTGTCATTTTTTTCTAGGAGTTCGAAGATTATTCTTAATCAAAAGATGGATAGAGCTAAGAATACCAAATATAGGCTCGAGTGCTAGGATAGAGAAGTTGGTTTAGGCTAAATGTTGGATTGTATATACATATAAATAGATTTTTGTTCTTTGCATTCTTAGCTTAACAGTATAAGCACAATAATGGCTTAGCATATTCGACAAGACACCTTTACTGGGAGTTCATGTGGCATTGTAAGGGTCGAATCATTTTTTAGAATCAATTTTGAAATTTTAGGGATTTAGAGGATTGGATCCTATCCTAACAAACACATCAAGCTGTAAAGAATATGCAACTCCTATATATTCTTTAAGATAGGGATTGAGATTTTTTTTTTCCATTTTTTAAGTTTTAAAATTTGGATCCTATTCTACAAACACAACAAATTATAAGACTATATAACTAAAAAAGTAATGGGTTTATAAAAACGCTTTACGTTCTCAAAGATCTTTCCCCTACCATACGAGAGAATAAGATAGAATTTATTTTATTTTAAATTTGCAAGTTCCACATAAGGGTAAGCCTTACTCTTCTAGACTAATAATTCGATTTGGATAGGAATGCCAGCTAAACTCCACCTAGTGTTTTAAAATCATTTTTTCGAGTCTTATGAAATGCAAGAAAGGGTAAGATTTTGTTTTTAGAAGAAAATTGGGGCCAATATCTAAGAAGTCCTAATGGCCTCAGATTATGAATTGTAGACCATGCTTCTAGTCCTAAATGTAATTGACACGTTTATTTTGATGAGTTGTTAATGTGGTGGGAACTTGTGCCATTTACGTCTTCCAAATTATTTATCCTTCTATGCTATTTAAGGGGTTTTGTAATTTTATTTCGAGTTAAAAAGTTTCCCTTAAGACTAATGAGGACTAAACGATCTCCAGGCTACCATAAGCAAGCAAACAAGTGTCCGTCACACACAAGTTATGTTGTGTAAAATCATAAAGTTTTAGTGTGTCAATCGTGGGGTTTGAAATGTCAGTCAATGTTTTAGTATCATTTATTTTATTCCTTAACTAAGGGTTTTGGTGTTTAGTTCTGCTCAAAATTATAATCAAATGTCTTTTATTTTATTTCGAGGTTAACATTCAGAATTAATGATTTAATATAAGTAATTAAGAAAGAGAATAAAGTATAACATAAAGCATGCAAGGTAAAGAAAATAAAGTAAAGATAACATAAGAGCTGACATGAACTGTACTGAAGAAATTGAATAAATGAACCTCATAACCTAAGTGTCTAAGGTTGGTGTCCTATATACCACATCTAGTGTTTGCTAAGTGTCCAAGTAGATAGATGATTTAGGGGTGAAAACTAACCGACCAGGTTGTATGATGCCTCTGGTCAAGATCTCATAGTTTCATTATTCCGGGTTCATTTGTGTCCTACTTAGTTGAGTGCCGACAAGAGGTTCCTTATTGGCAACCATGAGTTACCTCATCTAAGGGGACCTCGTAAGCTAAAAGGTTGGGGGTCTAATCCTAGGCTGACAAATGGGAAACCCCAGACTAATAGTTAGTGGACCTATGTCTATGTTATCTATCTTGAGGTGTAACATTTAAGCTACATGTATGTTTATGAGTGAGGGTTAATGGGAGCCTAATGTTTAAGGTTTCTATCTAAACTCAACATCTCCTATTGGGATCATAGGTGAAGTGAGTTTTGTGTTCTAAATCAAGCCAACCTACAAATGAATATGTGATGGCTACGATAATTAATTACTCAAATGATTTTAATTATTGCAAAATACTATATGCTGTATGAGATTAAAGCATGAATGTAATAGAATGATAACTAGATTGAAGTTTGATTTTTAATAAGTTCGTTCACGTGCACATGATAAAATTATCACACATATAGTCTTCATATATAGTTTTTAATGCAAGCGAGATCACCACATTATTTTGTTGAGACCTTTCTTTGGATGATTTCTAACTAAATGACAAATTAATTCGATTAGATTCAAATCTTTGGATGATTTGATTGAATTAATTAATTAAATTAATGTCAATTTAGTCAAAGATGAATTTGATTTGAGTTGGTCGATGTTGATTTGATTTAGATTAGGTAGAGACAGGTTAAATCGAATTGATCGAAGCCCTTTTTTTTTTGAAGTGAGTCTAATTGACTCAATGATGTTTAATTTTTCATAACCAAATCGGATCGATGTTTGGTTTATTTTTACTTGAATTGATTAATTAAATGAGATTGATTGACATAATTTTAAATTTAAAATTGGATATGGGTGGGTAACTTTATTTATTTGATGTTAATTTAAACTGCTTTGAAATGGGATGAACCGGGGTGACCAATTTTTCTTTAATTAAATTGGATTTGACAATCATCAAACTTGATTTTAATCAAAGGTATTTAGCTTTGGATCAAGCCAACTCATTCTTGTCGACATCTATTTGACTCAAAATGATCTAAAATGAGTTAGTCGACGTCAAATGTAGCTGTCACATTCAAATTGGACTTGAATCGTGTTGAATTAATTTGATAATGTTCGATTACATTGTCTCATTTGTGATCCAAATTAGAATTTTCATGAGATAACTGGCTTTGAATTTTTGAAGGGTTTATATATGATTTTGGTCAACTATAGTTGACTTGGTGACCAAGGGTTATGGTTGGTTCAACTTATTCAAAATGATATTTTGAGTTTGGTGGAGGTGGTCCTAAGGATTTGTGAGGTCTCCATGCTTGAAATATAAGTTTAGTGGCTTAAGGGTCCATAAGGTCAACCTTAGTTGACTTTGTCAGCCAGGCTTGATAAAAACTTGAGCTTGGGTTCAATGCACTCCAAAAATTATTTAGGATATGTTGGAGGTTATTTCAAGGTTTTTAATTGAAAGAGCTATGTCGAAGTTTATAAAAAGTTTGATTTAGGAGGTTTTGGGTTAGGATTTCTTTGTCAACCATGATCAACCATATTGCACCAATGAATCAATGAAGTTCAATGCATTAAGGCAATGACAATGATTGCGTTCAATGATTTTGGAAAAGCTCCCAAGTTCATTTTCCATAAGATGTTAATTCTAGTGGCATTGAGAAACAAATATTTGAAGCTTTTGCCTTATTAGAATATGCTTTAAGTTTTATAATTTAGAAGGAAATTGATGCCTCCAAAATATTTAAGTGAACCCTTAGGACATTCTTAATCAATATACAAAAGCTCACACACAAATGCAAAGGCTTCAACTAGAAATTTATTTTGAGTTTAGATTTTGAGATTTGATTTATAAATAGGATTTGGATTGACTAATTAAATTCAGTGAATTTAATTATTCTAGAAATTGACCTCATTGAAAAATGAGGTCAAAAAATAAATAATTTTGTGCAAAATTATTTTGAATAATAAGAATTTGGTCTTTCTATCTATAATAAGGTTGCAAGAATCTTTGAGAACTAATTTACCATAATTGGAAGAATTAAGCATAATACATTCACCAACCTCTAGATTAAATTGGATTTTAATAATTGATTTGTAGGCTTTGGTGACCTGCTGGGCTTTGTAAGCTCATTATATGTGGTTAATATTTCAGGTGCAGGGCCTCCAGTCTGAAGATCTTTCCGTCGAGTTCTGTCGCTCTTTGTTTTGTAGCCTTGGTAGGCTTTCTTTTGTAGCCGGTGCGGCTATTGTATATGACCTCTTGGACGCTTTTTGTCTGTGCTCTGTTGTATTATATGTGAATTAGTATCCGCTGCTGTTTCTTTTCTGTAATGTAATTATCTCTGGCTCTGGATGTATATATTGATACGAATAACGGATGAAGAAAAAGAAAATGAATGATCGATCAGATGAATCCTTTCACTACACGGATCTTGGGTCGTTATAAACATTCCCAGCACCAATGCCCCATTTAATCATATTGTTAGCATCCCATTTGATAACAAAAGCCCTTTTCCAAACAAGTGAATCCCTTCCTTTAAAGTGGCAATTATGGGGGTGTTTACCAACATACTATTTCCAAAGTTATAAATTTAGCCCAAAGACTTTGGTTACAATGAAATGAGAACCATAGTTTGATAGAAAATGTATGAGCAAGGTTCAAGAGAGTCTTACCTAAACCCCCTTCATAATAAACACCACGACATTTTCTCTAAGAAGCTCAATGGATTTTGGGTTGAGAAGTAGAGGATCTGCAAAAGAATTTATTGATAAGTATTTCCATATGTCCACAAACACCAATATCTTAAAAAAAGTTGGATTTTTTCTTACCATTAAAAAGAGGGATTCCCAAATATCTCATGGATAAGGATTTGGAAAATACGATTCACATGATTATGAGAAATTTTCTTAGAAGTAATGAAGCAACATTAAGAATTATTAATGCTAAGATCACTAATTTTTTTTTTTAATTTGTTTGGAAATTTCAACAATATTTTCACCAAATTTAAT